GATGATATGTATGAAGATCTACATACCAAAAAAGGGAAATATACAGATTAGCCAAACAGCGAAAAAAGAATTCTAGTGATATAAACGGAGCTCTGAAAGTAATCAAAAATAAAGATGGAAAAGTAATAAAGGAGAAAGAAATAATAAATAGATGGAAAGAATATTCAGGAGCTTCTCAACTTTAATCCCCACATACTACATCTAGATGAACCCTCCCCATGTAAAAACCTTATACATCCAATAACAGAACATGAAATAATCACATGCCTCAAGCATATGAAAAACAGCTAGGGGTCTAGATGATATTCCAATAGAAAGCCTTAAAGCACTAGGAGATGATGGAATACATTTCCACACAATTCTATACAATAAAATACATGGAAATGAAGAGGTTCCTCAAAAATGGAGGCAGAGCTATCTAGTTTCTATCTTCAAAAATAAAAAGGGATCCACACAATTGTTAAAATTACAGGGCAAAAACTGATGTCACACTGTCTAAAACTATACGAAAAAATAATAGAAAAAAGATTAAGAGACATAATCGAAATAAGAGAGACTCAATTTGGCTTTATGCGAAGATGATCAACAACCGATGCTATCCACGCAATTAGGCAAATGAGTGAAAAATACAGGGAAAATAACAAAAAGCTACACATGGTCTTTCTCGATCTAGAAATGGCTTTCGATAGAATCCCAAGAAAACTTATCTGGTAAGCGCTACGCCATAAAAAAGTTCCCGAAAAAAGAATAATACAAGATATGTATATGGGCCATACAACAATGGTCCGTAGCACAACAGGCACTTCAGCAGGCTTCACAATAGCCGAAGGAGTTTATCAAGGGTGGGCAACAGCCCACTTCTCTTCATTACAGTAATAGATGTATAAGCACATATACCTCAAACAGTCCCGTGGAATATGATATTTGCAGATGATATTGTGATACTTGCCGAATCCAAGGATGAAAATGAAAGAAAGATTAGTGAGCTGGATAAATATCTTAGAAAAGCAAGGACTAAAAAAAATAAAGAAAAGACGGTGTATATGGTGATAGGAGGAGATGAAAGAGATAGAATTGTTATAAATGAATGGCAGATATCGGCAATTGAAAGCTGCAAATATTAGGGCTCCACTATACAAACAAACGGCACAAATAAAAAAGAGATAAAGAGTAAAATTAATCAAGGGTGGTTAAAGCGGAGATCTTTATCTGGAGTGCTATTTGACTAAAGAATCCCACACAAATTAAAGGGAAAACAGTTCCATTCCTATATAGTTCAGAAACAGGCCAACCAAGGAATTAGACGAGAGAAGTCTACAAACTATGGAGATCAGAATGTTGAGGATGATTTCGGGGGTAACAAGAAAGATAAAGTGCGCAGTACATGAATACTCAGTAGAAAGGTAGTGCCTATTAAGACTTAGTTAATGGTAAACAGACGTAGGTGGTATGGGCACACAATGAGAATGCCTATGAACTACATAGGAAATAAGGTTGAGAGTTTGGAAGTGATGGGCAAACGTAAAAGAGGAAGGCCAAAACTTCTATGGGGCCATAAAGTTAGAGCCAATATAAAGAAGTATAAATTAGATAAATGAGATTGTATGAATAACATAAAGTGGATAGAGATGTTGAAGAAGCTTACCACCAGAAAAGGAAAGCCAAAGAGAAAAAAACAAAAACGTCTCTACTGCTTTAAACACATTAAAAAATTTATATAAGTGGTCACAAATTAGTTTATACGCAAAAAATCTTTTTTTTCAGAGAGCAGGCCCCCGGGCCCTACATTCTTACATTGAATATTGATCGAATCAAAATTTTCCTTCTACCATTGGGGTCCGGTAATACTATAAAATATCAAAACATACAAACAAAGACGTCTCAGGGCTTAAGGAAAAATTCCTAACACTGCCTACCCGCTATGATAAGTGTATAGCGAAGAAAAAATGGTACATTTTTGTCAAAATGCACCTTATTTATTTTCAAATATTTCGAGAAATAATTTATATTTTATTATGTAGCTTAATAATAGTTCTTTAATATGAGATAAAAATAAATATGATAGAAATCATTAATATCGAAAACCGCATGTATAAATACGGAAATGGCCATAGAAAAAAAAGCTATTTTTATTTCAAAATTTTTCTCTAGATAGATATCACACTGCTTTAGTACAAAATCCTAGAATGTGATAAACATGGTTTTAGGAGTTATGACTCTTTATATTGCTATAATTGAAATATCATCATATTTAAGTTTAATGAATAGATATGAAATAATGTTTATTTAAAAAATATGTCTAAATGATAGGCCCTTACTTTTTTTTTATCTTTAACAAAATTTTAAGAAGTGGCTGGGATAAAGTTTAGTTAAATTTTGTCTCGAAATTACTTGACAAAATAATACAAAACATATTTATAACTTTATTTGCCTCAAATTGCATAATTACATAATATACAATCAACAATTTAAATTTAAAATATATCGTATATTAAATCATCCAAAGAATTTGAATTAATTTTGACTATTGTCGCGTAGGGGAATAAAAGCATGGAACTTTTGTGTTCCGGAAATTCTCTTTGCTCTCAAAAACATGCTTTTAAGATGATTTTCTGTGTTATTATATTAATTATTACTCACAAATATAAAATTTACCCCATGGATATTATTTCTTGCATAGTTAAATAAATCCATTGTTGTTAATATGTGATGTTCATATGGGCTTTGCAAGCTTGCTCGAGTTGCTAGCCGTTTAGTAAAGCACCTTAAATTGCAGGGACTTTTAACATGCGCAGTTTTAAAAAATGTCACTCAGCCTTTATCCCAAAATTATTTTCATGATTGTAGAGAATAATGAAGTCTTTTTTTATTTTTGTATTGTGTTATTGCCCCATCAGAAAAATAAAAATTTTTATCAACTCTATAAAATGTTTCTTTCAGCATTGTGCTTTAGGTAATCTGATATAATCACTAAATTTACATGTTTTATTATTTTGTCCTTTATGATGATAAATTATAAAAGGGTGGTGGCCTGATTATTGGTCCAATTAAATTCTTGTATGGTCCTGCACTAAAAATGCATAGTTTTCTGAAAAGTTCGCAATAACTAAAGGAATTAGCCATTATTTAAATTGGATTTTTAAAAAGTTTCGAATTAATGATCGTGAAGCTATAAACGAATGAGTTTGAATTTTATATAATCTATTGAATTCGCATCAAACAATATATCAAATCTTTCTTTTATTTTTGAAGATGTAAATTTATATTTTGGTAGATATTTTTATGTTAAATTAAATATTTAAAATTATATTGTCAAGTAATTTCGAGACAAAATTTATTAAATAAACACATTATCCCAGCCACCTCTCAAAAAATTTTGTTAAAGATAAAAAAAAATAGTAGGGCCTATCATTTAGACTTTTTAAATAAACATTATTTCATAACTATTCATTAAATTTAAATATGAAGATGTTTATGTTAAATTGGATCAATTTTAGCCATATAAAGAGTCATAACTCCTAGAGGAATGTTTGTCCCAGTCTTAGTATTTTGTACAAATATGGAGCAGGTGATATCTAATATCTGTAAAAAAAAATTGAAAAAATACCTTTTTTTTCTATAATCATTTCTGGTTTTATACATCCGGTTTTCGACATTAATCAGATTCTATTATATTTATTTTTATGTCATATTATTACATAATAAAATTTAAATTATTTCTCCAAGTTATTTCTCGAGATATTTGAAAATAAATGATGTGCATTTTGCCAAAAATGTACATTTTTTCGCCTTTAAAACGTTCATATTCTTAGCGGGTAAACAGTTTTTTATAGTTTTAGTATATATTACCAGTATGCAAAATTTAAGAAAAATAAAAAGGGGTCGGGTTAAAATCTTGGTTGATTTGATATGGAATTCACAAAATATATGTATCGAGGAAAAAGCAAAGAAAACTAGGATGTATATATAAGTAAAGAGTGGGACAAATTTTCATTAGAAATGTTTTGGTATACACATTTTAAAAAAAATGGATTTATTTTTAACGATTAATTTTTATCATATCAATAGATATAAGATACTTGTATCTTTTGTTAGATGAGAGTATCTTAAATATAATACTTTTATAAAATTATCATTATCTACTAAAATATCCGGGTTCGAACCGAACCCGGAGAAGAAAACCGGGGTTTTTGGGAAAATAATCTAAACCCGAACCGAAACTGACCCCCTTTTATAAAATTTTTAAAACCCCGAACCAAACCCGGAAATTTTATTTGAACCGGGTTCAACCGGGTTGTGTGTATTGTTTATATTAATATAAAATATTTGCATAATTGTAAATACGAATATTAATAATTTACTTGACATTTTATAATATTTTTCAAATTTCTCAATTAAGTGAAGTGTTTAGTTAATTAAATTTTAAAAAACTTAATTCATTTACTCCATTTTAAAATTTTTTTAAAATTTTTATTCTCAAAGATTCCTATTGGATTGTTGATAAATGTTAAACCAATTAAATTCATTTACGCCATTTATTTTTAAATTTTTAACTTATTCTCAAAGCTTATTAATTAGAGGAAAATGAAAAGTGAACAAGTCAAAGTAAAAATTTATTATATTGGATATTGTTAATTTAAAGAAATACGTCTTAAAATTTTATTTTTAAAATTAAAATAAAAAATTATTTATTTTATATACCAAATTTATGTCCAGTTTTTTAATTATGATCTAAATGTAGAATATATTATTTTTTATCAATTCAAAAATTCTTAAACCCGGAATCCGAAACCAAACCCGGGTTCAAAAATATTTCCCAACCGAACCCTATCCGAACTCACACCTATTTTTTTTAACCTTAAACCGAACTGAACACGGGCAAAAATTTGGCCGGATTCCTGATAAGCCTTTTAAAAAACAGCGTTAAAAAGACAGACTAGGAGATCTTTTAGGTCCCATTGATATAAAATATTAGTTTATAAAATTTTTTTAATAATTACCGCAAATGGAAGAACAAGATAAAGTTGACAATGAGAATATTATATAATAAAAAGCTAACAATTTTTTAAAATATTTATAGGCGATAATGTAACTAATTTATATAGAGCTAAATAAAGTTTTTTTTTTATTTAAAAAATATTATTGAAATAAATATATTTATGTTTTCAAATTCAATCTAAAGGCTATCAAATAATTATTAAATTAATTAGATTTTAAACCAGACAAACCAAATGTTAAAAAAAATAAATTTTAAAAATATATTATCTGGTGAAGGCCATTGCTACTTTGCGATATTTTTCAAAATTATTTTAGGTTCAAAAAAAACATAATAAAATTCTTTAATATTATTAATACATCTTTTTTACCAAAATTTGATAAAGATTAATTTATGCCTCAAACCCTATAATATAAATTATCATTTCACTTTTGACATTGTCCTGAAGGATAATAAAATTTTAGGTTTTAAGAGTTTAAATTGAAATTTTGTGCAAATTTAACTAAAATGGAAAATAAGGAACAAAAAATCTCCTATTTGTTTATTCTTTTTAATATAAAATTGTTACAAAAATTATCATTTTTTAAGATGTTAAAAATAATAACAATTAGATAAAACGGTATATGATATTTCTGAAATATTATATAAAATATTTATCTCTTTTAAAAAATAATAATGCCATGAAGAATCCACTGTTATTTCGATAGCGTTAAAATAACTTAACGCTTTAACATAAGCCGTTCACTATTAATTAAGTGAAAAAGGATTAGAAAGTAATATTTATAAAAATAATGTCATGTGAAACAAACATAACATATTGTTAATAGTATCCATTTTAAGAATTCGAATAAACGATATTAAAATATCGCCTTCCTACATCCTCCCCCCCTCTTTTGGATAGATTCCAAATTTTCCTGCGAGAAGAGTGTTCAATAATTCAAATATAAGTTTATATTAATAATTGTAGTTTCAGTTTAGAAAGGGAAACAGTTTAAAAAAAACTTATAAATATTATAATTCTGGGACTGTTTTCGACAATTACCGAAAATAAATTATCCGAAATCAAAATTCTATTCAGATGAAAAACCTATTGGAATAAAAATTCCCATTCGAAATTCCAGATCAAATTGTATCGAAACATTTTTTTAAATGATCCCTACCCTATCTCATATAAACCTGTTCCAAGAGATTAGATTCTCAGTGAAACATCTAAAACCCTTACTGCTATTTAATTGCTATTATTTTTTAACATGGCATCGCAACACATGTTTTCAAAATTTCGCTTGAACATAACGCGTTTACTATAAATTCGCTAATTTATTTTTTATCCAAGTTTTGTTTTGAAATATAGGATGTTTCAGTAATATTTTTATCAGACATATAAATAGGTACAATTACAAATCTAAAGTAGAATAGTTTTATTTGAATTAAAATAAATAAATAAATATTAACAAAATTAAAATTAATCTATAAATCTCATCATGTTTTCTATTTTTCCACAAAACTGTTTTTTTTAAAAAAGATTATTCGTAATATGAATTTCAAAATTAGAAAATTAAAACGCCTCCATTTCGGTTATTCTTACGATGTTGGTGATGGATTTTTTATTTACTCTTTTTATTCATTAAAAAAACAAATTTTTTATGTATTCCTGATCAAATTTATTAGTTTTTATTGTGCACTATCTTGGTTCACACACTACCTGTAAACAGTAGCTTCACTGGGGGGAAGGGAGTGGTTACATAGCGTTCAAGTCTCAAAAATTGAGCCTCTAAGAAAATTTAAAAAAATCGTCGTTTTGAAATTATTAGCTAAAGAAAGGTCATTTTCAAATATAATAGCAAAAAAAGTTGTGAAGGCTTGTGATGCCAATGTAGTGCTGTTAATTTGCTTGGTCGTAAAATTTACGACCCAATTTTTATATTTCAGTGTTGTGAATGTGATGATTTAATATAGCAAATAATATTATGTTGACAATAAAAAAATTAAAACCCATTCAGATAAAAAATATTTTGTTTAAAAAAAAAATTAAAATAACACATTTACTTTTTATTATAAACTTGAAAGTTTATTTTAATTTTACTGCAATAATTTTAAATTTTAAACAAACATATATTTAGCCAGAGAATCGGCTAAGCCAAATATTTTAGCCTAAAACTATCACTCTAGCTTTTCGGAGTTATTCATAAAAAGATAGAGGCTCAAATTTGGACGAAATTAATATAAGTTGAAACGCTCAATGTTAACGGATTTTAATCTGCAAGCCCCTGAAAATAGAGCCGAGTTAGCTTGCATTTAGCCATTATCCAATTATAGCAATTACACAAACTTTATAAAAAAAATGCAAATTGAAGATTTAATATATGATGACTTCAGAATAGGTAGGAAAAAAAACGCTTGTTTTTAAACACCCTTACCCCTAAATAGAAACGATCCAAAGTATTCTAAATATCCTATTCAAGCTCAATCTTGACGAATTTAGGAACTAAATGTTAAATTAGAAAAAAAAAATAAAAAATAGCGATAAAATTAGTACAAATCCGGCCAGAAGGTTCGTATCTAATTCTAAACTAGGATGGTATAGCTGGAAATAATCTCTCGGTTAACCAACATAACAACTCATTTTAATCCTATTTTACCCTGTAAGCTGAGTTGCTTGCAGGACTTTACTATCTAACCTCAGAATATGCCATTGCATTTTGCTATTTCTATATTTTTGGTAAATATTTTTTATTTGAACTATTTGGAACACATTATTTATCTGAACCCCGGGAAAATAGAACTATATAATAACTAAAATATTTTAATAATATTATTGCTTATTTTGATTAATTTATTGCTTAAAAAATTATAAACAATTATTTTGTTACTAGGTGCTGACGATACATTAAATTTGGTACTGCAGTGAACACATACTCTATGTTTTTATTGGGACTATAAGTAAAATGTTTCTTGGACAAACTTATGGTTTTCATATTGTAAAATAAAAATTAACAATCTAAAGACTCCTCTAGAAAAATATCATAAAATAAAATATACAAAAAAATTATATTAATTGTATAGTAAAGCAAACTTAAACAATAATAAAAGACCGGTCCGGACCACGGTCCTCAAGAAAAAGATCGGTCCGACAATCGGTCCGGTCCGATCCCGGTCTAAGACCGATAGGACCGGACCGTTGACCTTCACTACTCTCAAATATATTATCAAGAACCTATAACTCAAGTTTCAGAAGTTCTCACAACCACACCACTAGTTTATTCACATTCTATTGATACCAGATCAACATTCATTATAGTAATCTGCATCGGATTTGTTAAAAAAATTTTGTCCGACTTGGCCCGATCAATATTATGGTTAAAATTAATTAAAAACTATCATGGGTAGTAATGGTCAAATTTGTCTGGTTTATAGATGTTAGGAACGAAACTGATAAGAAGCTAGAGTATAGGTAATGATTGCCAGAAAGATATTGTTGACAAGGTTAAATAGTGGCCTATAATAGCTGACCCAAATATTTTGAATGGTTGGACCATAAACCAGTTGCCTGTTATGAATAATCATTATGATATACATAGGTAGATATTCTCATTGAGAGAATATAAAATTTCATGAATAAATTTTTGATAATTTCGGTAATAAATTTAGAAATGATAACTTCGGGAATAACATTAAGAATAATAATTTTGGAAACAATTTTTTGAAGGGATGATGTTAATTTTATATGTCGAACTTGTGAAGTCAGGACATGGACCATTAAATAGTCTGAAAGTAAAATGTTTTAATTTGGGGCAGTATGGTAACATTGCCAGATTCTGTGAAAGTAGAAATTTTAAACTTACTTGTGTTATATGTGGATGATTCGGTCACATTATTAATGCAGGGTAAATATACTTAGAAATAATGAGGGTTTTCCACAAAACAAATTAGCAAGTTACTTCCCAAGTGAGAAGTGTTGGTAGAAAAGCTAATATTGGTAAAAACCTTTGAAAATTACATTAATTAACATAGGATTTTTAAATGTTGGATGACGGACATTGCTGCCATATTCATAATGGGATATGACAAATGTGGGATATTATGGCCGGAAAATAAAAAAAATATAATAATATGATCAATTAGCAGTTTGCGCTCAAAAATAACTGTATTAGGAAAGGTTATCTTGGTGGTAAAGGTTGAAAGAACGACAATTTTATGATTTATGGATATTTGATAAAGATTTTGAAAATATTAGGTTCCATGAAAAATTTTTGGGAATAATCAATATAACAAATTTAATGTTACAGGAGAAAATTATGTGAAATCCTATGGAAAGGTGAATTGTAAAGATTATATTACCTAGATTAAAGACAATAATAGCATTTAGATGGAATATGGGAATGGCAAAGAAATAATTTCGGGAATAAGAATTTCAATTTTGAAATTAATAACAGCATAACAAAAAAAGTGTGCTAAATTTGAATTAAAGAAGTGAATTCTCCCGAAAAATAGAAAATGGTGAGCTGAAAGGTAAAATAGGAAATAAATATATAAATTTAAATGTTAAAAAAAAAAAACTTAAATATTAAAATTAATAGCAGCGTATCAAAAGAGTCTGAGATTTACGAAAGGGATCATCCCGGGAAAATGTCAAAGAAAGCAAGGATATTATAAGTTGAACATAGTTGGAAAATAGTCAATTCGAAGTTTTGCAAAAATAATTAGGGGGTAATAGGAAATTCAATCATATATTAAGAATACAGAATCAGAGATAAAAATAATGAATGAGATTAATTTGGTAAGTCATAATTTAATAAAATATATTGTAAAAAACTGCTTGTCCCGAAGACGAGTAAAGGCGGAGGAGTTAGAAGGTGAAACTCCGAAATATTAAAGAGGGTAAATCATCGTAGTGTTGTTAAACTCTACCTAAGTTTAGTCAACTATGAAACAGCGTGACTTTGACTTGATAGTTGAGACTCGACTTAGAGGCTTAATTCTATTTTTTAGGACAAAATCCTGACAGGACATGGAAAACCTACCCTGAAAGATATTTGAGAAAAAGGTTGGCCCAAAAATTTCTAAATGAAGGTTAAGGAACTAGATAATTTTTAATAAGGAAATATTTTAATTTGAGGTTGAAGT